TATTCCATATTACTTGACACTTTTCTGTTCCTATGAAAAGGAAAATCAGAGAGATTCAATATATTAATAAGTAACCAAACAGGCAAGTGGAGTTAAGCACGGAATCATTTAGAACTTGCTGAAGGTCTAAGATCTAAACTTTTAGCCACTCTCTCTATTGCAAGGACCAGCATGAGCTAACTCTACCATTCCTTAAAGACTGTCTGAAATGCAGCCTATGCAAAGTTCTCTTGTAAATTTCCAAGTAGAACTATATTGTTAAGATACACAAAAGCATTAGTTATAAATATCCTCAGTTTCTAATTTTATTTCTAGATAGCTAATGACTTTTCAGATGTCTAAATTCCCATTTTTATTATAAATATTTTGAACTGATTTTTCAATTGCTCAACACACTACCTAACTTCTTAAATGGAATATTTGCATAACATATATGTAGGAGATCAGAATAATCCACCCCCAAATAGGCCTCTTTAGTATAAGAATTATTTTGAGCAGATTATTTTGAGAAACAACAATAGGAGAAGTTCTAAAAACAGGGTAGAAGTTATTCTTTTGTAGGGAAATTTACATCTAGAAAGAAAATCTCCATTTGGAAGACTGTTTCCCTCTCTGCACCAGGAAGACAAGGATGACTAAATTACCAGTGACTCTTTTCAATGTAAAAACCACTAACTTACATTTGCATAACAAACCTTAATTTTGTTTACAGTGCTTTTCCTGGTTATTTGCCTATAACTTACTTCCCCCCCGTAGTCTTATTTCTTTGTTTTGTTGAAGATGCTGTAAGTTGCAGTTCTAGGCTGTCTCTGAGAGTCACACTTTCCCTAAGTTTTCTGTCACGTATATACAAAATATACCCATTAATAAACTTGTGTTTGTTGTTCTCTTGTTAATCTGTCTTTTATTACAAGGTCCCAGATGAGAATTTAGGACAGTAGGAAAATTATTTATCTGCTATATATGCAATTTAATATATACATATCCTTCATTATAAAGATATTGGACTATTGCATGCTGTGCTTAACTCAGCTAAGTGTGAGGACATGAGTAGGAGCTTTAGCATTAGCCTGATCTTTGAAGTTGCTCCCCCTTGCACTCTGAAGTTTTGCTGAAAATCAACTGACAAAAGACAGGTTAATTAAAAAAAGGCATACAAATTTATTTAAGCACAGTTTTACTTCACACAGGAGTGTTTAGAATGAAGCCCAAAAGATACAGAAGAAACTGCCCATTTTCATGATTTGGTTCAAAGAAGTATGGGCAGCTGGGTAGAAATATCATTGAACAATAAGGGTACAATCTAATGCTAATTGGCTGAGCATGGAAACCCAGCAAGGCTTGTCTGTCTAGACTGTTCTTGGCCTTACTGTGCAGGATTCCTTCCTTCCGGGTATTTGGCAGGATCTTGTCTGGAATGGGGGTCTTATGACCTACAATCAGATAAAGTAGGTCAGCTAATTTCTTTATGGCCAGTTTTTACACAGAAAAGGAAGGCAGCATTAGTGTAATATTTTTAGGCTTTATGTCTGGCTTTGGGGAAAATGGAGTTTGGTTTTTATGAACCACCTTGAAAAAGAGATTCTAGTTTCTATGGCTGGCCTTGAGGCAGAATAAGGGGCAGAGACAGGAGGGCAGAAGGTCAGAGAGGGCTGCTACTGAGGCTTTTGTTTTAGTATCGTTCTGAGCCCTACCAGTATCCTCTTTGTCCATTTCTTCATAAGAATATGTTGGCTGAAAAGAATGACACCAACATATAAAAAATGCCTTAGACCCATTTTGGCAGTTCTTTTGATAAATTTCCTAACTTACTTCCTATCTGCTATTTTCTTATCACTACTAAGTTGTTATCTGTTACTTCCTTCAACTTTGTGTCTGTCAATAGTAAATTATGTCCTCATTTATGGTTTGTACTGGACTTTTCTTTCCCCTTTAGAAATCAAATAGCTACGATTTTTAACTGTTAGAGTAAAATTAAATAGATTTTTAAGCGACAATATGAGGCTTCTTTTATAAATAAATACATAAAATTGGACATTTTTTAGTCCTCAAATTTTTTTACTTTCTAGTTTTTTAAACAACACACTTATTTTTAATTCTAAATATTTCAGTAATTGTAACTTATAATTAATAGAATTACAAACATTTGGAATTATTTTAATATTTTAAACAAAAAGAGAATACAGTAGAGAAGTAACCAGTGTGCCAGATGCAGAAAGAATATTTCAAACACTTGTTACTTGTGGGCTTGGGAAGGTCCCTAAATGCCATGGGACCTCCAACCCAGCCAGTATCTAGGCTCTTTACACTATCACGAGAAGGAATTCAAAGATGAGTCAGAAAATAGGAAAGTACAGAGACTGATTGCAAAGCAAAAAGTACACACTCAAGGGAGTGCAGGCGTACCCGAGAGAGTTGTGCAGTAGACTTTGGGGTTTCTATCTATTGGGGGTTTAACCAAGGGATGAAACATTTAACAAATTTCCTGGAAAAGAAGTGGAGATTTCTTGGAACTGTGATACCATCTATTTTTATACCAAATATGAGTGTTCTCAGAACTGTCATGGCACTGGTGGGTATGTGATTTAGTACATGAATGAGCATATAATGAGGTCCTTGGAGAAAACCTAGGTCAAATCCAGCACCACGTTTAGTCCAGATGGTCTTAGCCAGCTTGTTCCACACCTTGGTTTTTCAGAGTCTTATCAGCCTCTAGCCTCTAGTCTTGTAAAACTTCTGCCTAGTGTGTTTTATTCTCCTGTGACTACCTGTATTAATCCTATCTTACAATTGCATATACATTTATACATTATAGTGTGATAAATTGTTTAATATGTAAGCTATTTATAATTTAATATATAAACTAGTTAATATATAATAGTATATATTTTTATAACATATAATAAAACAATATGTATATCAATCAGTAAAGAAAAAAATAGAGGCTGGTAATAATATTGCTTGTGAATCTATAACCTATAATTACAAAGAACAGTTTTTTGATCAATTAAAATATAGCTTATATATTTTAATAGATTGCATATTATAAACAGTATAAACTATATATAAAGTTTTTAATATAATTGTTTTATGTATTATAACATAATATATATATAATTACATATTAGTTTATACATAAAAATATAGTTTACATATTAGTTTATATATTCATACATCTATACGTAACTTATATGTATTATATAATACTTTAAAGTATATACATAGTAATTATCTAGTATATAGTATATTAGTTGAAATATTAAACTTAAATAAATTTTATGATATATAACTATAAATTATAAAGATAAACTTGCTTTTTAAATGTGATCCTTGATGTATTTTTTGAAATAAATACAGCAGGAATTTATCCGCAGTAGTAAAACTTCTGAAATCTTACACACAAATAGCCATGTCTGATAAAACTGTTTTTGACTTGTATCATTTTTCCGTTTATACTATAGTAATAGCTGTGTTGTTAGAAAATTTCTAACACATTTTCATCTGTTAAATTTTGAAGTGTCATCTCTTTTTATTTTTTCTGAAATTTGGTTTAGATAAAAGTTAAAATTATCTGTATAGTCCTAATATAAACAATCCTTTTTCAAACACAGATTGAGGCTTACTGTATTTTTTACTTATATATCCTGAGTATATTATTTCCTTTCTTTGTGATGCAGGATAGGTGGAATGGGGAGAGATTCAGTGTCAGATATAACTGAGACGAATGCCAGCTTCAACATTTTAAAACATTGTCGCTGCTTTATTACAGCCTCTAGGAATATGTCTATTTGAAAGCATGGACCTACCTTCCTGGTATAGCCACTATTGCTAAGAGATTAGCTTTGAATTTTAAAATTTAATGTATCCTTTCCTTTACTGTGTCATAACAGTTATACCTTTCCTCTGTATAAATTTCCTATAATCAAACATAACAGTCATAAATATGTTTCATAAAGAAGAGGATATTTATTATCTAATAAAAAGAAAACTTACTGCAAGAATAATAGTGTATGCATCAAGCAATAAAGAAAGGAAAAAAAATTAGAAGCTGGTGATAAGGTTGCTGGTGAATCTACAGTTCATGACTTTCATCATGATGAGAACCAGCTCCTTCCTTTGATCAGTTTTATTTGGTCTATAGTTTTAGAAGACAGTTTTTCATGGGTCACTCAATCCTTCATTGTTGCATAATGTGCCAAAAATATGAGACCCTGAGCTATTTTTCAGGTTTGTGTTTTTGGACACCAGTCTTAAGGGGTGAGATATATCTTCTTCTGGGACGAACAGATTTACTTCTTGTCATTAAAAAACATGGATTCCCCGATCTCAATGTTCCTCTTCTATAATTCTACTCACTTTGTGTGCAAACATGATTTACACCTTCCTCATCACTCTCAAGGGATTTAGGGACAAGAACTAAGACAAACATACTAATACTCATGCTACTTGCTGTGCTATGAGTAATAAAGTCTTTTGTCTCTGATCCAAGAGTCTCTTGTCTTCTACCAGCATCAAAGAAAAAGAAACAGATTAACATTTTAGCTCATAACTATAGGGCAAACTTACATATCAGACCCATTCTTATGATAAGAATGGGATTCTGACATGACTTCAGAAGAGAAAGTACAATCAAGGTTCAGGGTTAAAAGAAGAGTCCCTAAGATCTGATAGAGAATATTTTTGCCCAATTGGTGGTCAAGGATGAAGACAATAAGGTTTCCCACTTTTCTAACTCTTTTTTTTCCCAGATGGAGTCTCACTTTGTTCCCTAGGCTGGAGTGCAGTGGTGCGATCTCTGTTCACTGCAAGCTCCGCCTCCCAGGTTCATGCCATTCTCCAGCCTCAGCCTCCTGAGCAGCTGGGACTACAGGCACGCAACACCATGCCCAGCTATTTTTTTCTTTTTTCTTTTTTTTTTCATTTTTAGTAGAGACAGGGTTTCACCTTGTTAGCCAGGATGGTCTCAACCTCCTGACCTCCCACCAGGTCCCTCCCAGAACAAGTGGGAATTATGAGAGCTACAAGATGAGATTTGGGTGGGGACACAGAGCCAAACCATATCACATGGCATGCTATTAGAATGACAATTGCTGTCCATACTGAGCTCTCTTGGAAATATAGGCTTACACAAGTCTGGCAGTCATGACCCTCTATATTCAGTGGCTTGTTATGCCCTAGGGCATGAAAGCAGCACCTCAAAAGCTCAGCATGGCCACTGAGGTCTTCTGCTACAAAATAGAGCCAAACATAGGCTCCTGACATATTTCACTTGCAGGAGGGGTGTTCAGTCCTTTGCCAGATGCTATGTTGCTAAGGGATGTTAACTCCCTTCCCAGATCCTTTGACTTTGTGAAACTCTTTGAAATTAATTGAATAAACAGCAGCAGGAGTTTGTAAACTTTACAGATAGCATCAACACCTCACACATGAAGCTACTGCTTTTCAGTCCTTAACCAAAATGTCCTAGATAAAGTATAGAACCCAAGGGTCAGCATAATTGGCCGAACTTTAGAAAGCTATATTAGCACTAGATGACTTGGTCAACAACTGGCCCCATCTGCAAATTTTTACATACTTGAGTCATTGCCAATTGTCTGGCTGTCTGGTACACTGAATGACAACAATAATTTCTTATCCAGAGTAAAGAACTCTAGGTATCTCTTGCCCAACAGATATACAAAATATAAATCAAGGTTAACCCCAAGGGGTTAACAAGTATATTGATGAATCCTTGTTGTGTGGATTTAATAGGTATACACAAATGTTTTAGACATCATTAATACTGACCAAGGCACATATTCACATCTCAGAATACATAAGGCTGGGCTTTTGGATGAGGCATTTAATAGAAATTTTACCTCTCTTACCTGCCTCAAGCTACAGGACTCATAGAGTGTCATATGGTGTACTTAAACGAATTCAAACTCAATTCAATTTTAAAAATGGCATATTTTAGTCACAAACATCAGGTGTCAGTTCTAATATCATTTTTTAGTGTTTGTTTACTGACAGCTTTTAAGTTTTACCATTCCCTCTTCCCCTCCTGCCCCATATCTCAGCAAGATGATAAGAAAGCCCAGTTGCTCCCTCTTTTGGCATTAGTGGGAACTTTGAACCAATCTTATGTGGAAACCTTTACTCTGATCTCACTTCCTAACTTAGATAAGAACCCAAGCCAATCTCCTTTCCCTACTCTCTCAAGATGTTTTAAAGCCTTCTGAAAGCTACCTCCTCTCGCCTTAGAAAGTCTCATGTCTGCAACAGATATTTTTATAGTTTCTTGGTGTGCATGAGTCATCACTGTCAACATCTGAACCAAATTTTGGGTAATCTCCATCTTGCTTCTGAGGGAAAGGAATGGCACCAACTCTCCATGCTAGACCTGTGATTCCTGCCAAAAGTGAACCTATTTTCCTCTGTTTGATGAAAGCCACATTGCAGGAGGGCATTGTTCCCAGCAGCTCTTGAAAAAGTAACTGCATTGTAACTTTAACCTTTTTCATGCCCATCTTCTGTGTCTTTCTGAGGCAGACTCTTTGAGGTTAGAATTGCTGTTCTAGTTCTAATGGTTGACTCCAGTCACAGCATGTGGCTTGGCACCCTTGAAAATAAACTGCCATATTTTTGGCTTTTTAGATCATCTATAGTCTATAATTGTGTGACTTTTGTTGCAAGGCCATCCAACAATGGTCCAAAAGTTAAGATATTCAAAGAGCATTCTATATTCCCTACCATTTACAGGCACTTGTTATGGATCAATGAAATAGCCACCTCAAAAATTAATGCAAATATATTACTAACTTTATCTCTTTTATATTCTCATGGTCCCCGTTCCATATTAAGGCAGTTTTGCCACTGAATGCAGCTATCCCCTGAAATAGTTTGTCCCCTGGATAATGGCAAGGATGAAAGATGTAGAAGGTATGTAGAACTAATTTGAAAGTTCTTGTTCCCAATCCTGACAATCCTTGGGTGTGATGCATTTTTCTTTCTCTTAACCACAGGTGAGCCTGCCACCCCACATCTCTGGGTGGAGGCCTGGCCAGAAAGAGGCCTAAAATCTCAAAATTCATTTTGGTTCAGCCATCTGGATTTGCTTTTTCAATTTACATGACTAAAATCATGAAGACACTGACCACATCACTGAGCACACTGCTCCCTCAGTTCTACTATGGTTGTCCTCTTGGGCCAAAGTGAGTACTATAATGGGTTCTACATATCTTATGAAATCAATCTTGCCCTACTTGCAACTGACTCCCCTGAACAAAAGGTAGGGGTTTGAGTAAAGAGTGATTAGAGAAAAGGTGAGTTTATAATGCTGGGATAGAGCACACCAAGGTTGTTGTCACGAAAGGAGAGCAACTCTAGCACTTGATGAGGGTATCAAACTCCAAAGGTTGCAAAGAAGGAAGAATGATTAATGCTGTCTTTGTCCTCTAGATACGACACTGCAACCTGGCAAAACAATCAGATGGTCTGCCTGAGTAAAGGAGCATTTGCCATTGGTAATCTGACCCTTTGCTGAGAAAACAGAAAAAGTTATGTGTACCTGGCCAGCTCTGAACTATTTTGTTGTTCTTGATGCTATCAATAGCCTTGATGTCTAGGTGCCCTTGAGTTATATCATATACAATGGTTGAGGCTGCAATTTCTAGGTAACCCTGCCCGTGTGTATTCACCAAATCAAGGTAATGATGATCCCAAATAGGTTCAAAACATATACAGACAAGAATAACCTGTGTACATTCAGATTTTATGTTTGTATGCGGGAGATCATGGACCAAAATATTTCTCTCGATGGGGGTAGGGACTGCTTTCTGGCCCGTGTATTACTCCCTTGTACTTATTGGCAATGACACTAAAAGAGCAAGAGATTAGTTGCAACTCTCTTGTATGGGTAATAATGAATAAAAGACTTGGCCTCAGACTGCAACCTGGCTGCGTAAAATATGACTTACTGATCCTGCTAAAACATATTCATTATTGACTGATTTTGGGATCCTGGGGATATAGTTGAGGCCAATACTGTGGGTTGGAATCCTACTGTTTGACAGATTGTTAATTAAATGCTTTGTAAAAATTGAATGGGTTTGGTTGCAGCCTCTGCCAGTCAGATTAATCAGAGTGACCAATGTAGTACATTAAAAAATTTTCTAGAAGCCAAGTCATATTTGGACCAAATGGAGGAAATGGTTGGGAGATATTCCTGGGTCTTCTGCATTCCTTGACTTGCTGGACGTGCCAAGTAGACCCTGTCTGCTCTTTATCTGGGCCATTTTTCAGGGTTGCATTACTAAAGAGATTATATAGTTAACACACGAAAAACAGTGTTTTTCAGGGTTTTTCTAGGAGTATTTGAGTTGTGTCCTTAAGGGTGTCATTGAGGGATGACGTAACATCTACCAAAGGCACAAAGATAAGGCTTGCTCACTGATTGCTATAAAAGTGGTGGATGCTCCCCAGCTCAGAATTTCTCTCTGGTGCTATTAGGTTGGTGCAAAAGTAATGGCAATCTTTGTCATTACTTTTAATGAAAAAATCCAGTTACTTTTGCACCAACCTAATACATTCCATCCTGTGTGCAGATATTTTCTGGAACTTCATGTCACCTCCACTTCTACCCATGACTGTTGGATTTAGGGACAAAGAAAACTGATACAAAATGCTAATGCTCGTGTGGTCTACTGTGCCGTAAATAATAACCTGTGTCTGACCCAGGAGTGTTGTTTCTTCTGGCAGCATCCATGCGATAGTAACAGGCTAAATAATGAGCTTGTAAGTATAGAGTAAATTCAAGTCCTAGACTCAACATGTAATACTAGGCATGTTCTATCAAGCTGGTTCTTTCCAATTCATCCGTTAGTTGGTTTGCATATTAGATTCAATTTTTCCTTTAATTACTAGCATGCAAGAAGGGGACTAGGGTAATCAGTTCTTTGCTGATCTTTTGAGAAGAGTATAAAGAAATACTTCAGTTTGAGATTGGTTGTTAAACTACAACTACTAGAAGCAGGTCCAGGTGGTTACTAGGAGTTAAGATTTATACCACCCAGAGAACTCAGTCTAGGGAAATAATGCATACCCACATTTTTTGTTTGTTTGTTTTGTAAACTACTTTTCAAGTTTCTTTTTAGGCTACAAATCAGGTTTGTTTCCTTGGTTACAAAGGCCAATTTACTTGGACAATGAGTAAGGTAACTATCTTGACTCAGACTTTTAAAAGAGAAAAAAAATTTTTACATGTGCATGTGTTATTTAATAAGCTTTTGAAACAGCTCTTGAATGTTAAGGTGACTTTTGAAATAATACACGTTTTCCTTAAAATGGGATTAAATATCACCAATAATATTGTCATTATTTGAATGTTTAAACCAGGAATAACATGTGTTACCCATATATATTCTTTCACTCATTCTGTTAAAAGAATCCTAACTAGATAGAAAGTATTACTTCCATATTTCAGAATATAAAGTTGAAACTAGAAGGTTTATACAATGTTGCGGGAAGTCAGGGATGCCAAACTGAGGGAACAGCTGGAGCCCTGGTAGAGGAACATAAATTGTGAAGATTTCATGGACATTTATCAGTTCCCAAATAATACTTTTATAATTTCTTATGCCTGTCTTTAATCTCTTAATCCTGTTATCTTTGTAAGCTGAGGATGTACGTCACCTCAGGACCACTGTGATAATTGTGTTAACTGTACAAATTTATTGTAAAACATGTGTGTTTGAACACTATGAAATCAGTGCACCTTGAAAAAGAACAGAATAACAGCAATTTTTAGGGAACAAGGGAAGACAACCATAAGGTTTTACTGCCTATGGGGTTGGGCAAAAAGAGCCATATTTTTCTTCTTGCAGAGAGATTATAAATGGACGTTCAAGTAGGAGAGATATCGCTAAATTCTTTTCCTAGCAAGGAATATTAATATCAATACCCTGGGAAAGGAATGCATTCCTGGGGGGAGGTCTCTAAATGGCCGCTCTGGGAGTATCTGTCTTATGCAGTTGAGATAAGGACTGAGATATGCCCTGGTCTCCTTCAGTACTCTCAGGTATATTAGGGTGGGGAAAAACTCTGCCCTGGTAAATCTGTGGTCAGACTGGTTCTCCGCTCTTGACCCCTGTTTTCTGTTGTTTAAGATGTTTATTGAGATAATACGTGCACCACTGGACATAGACCCTTAACAGTCGTTCCGCTTTTGCCCTTTACTTTGTGATCTTTATTTGACCCTTATCAGTGGTTCTGCTTTTTCCTTTTGTCCTATTCCCTCAGAAGCATGTGATCTTTGTTCTGCTTTTTGCCCTTTGAAGCATGTGATCTTTGTACCTACTCCTTGTTTTACACCCCCTCCCCTTTTGAAACCCTTAATAAAAAACTTGGTGGTTTGAGGCTCAGGTGGGCATCATGGTCCTACTGATATGTGATGTCACCCCTGGTGGCCCAGCTGTAAAATTCCTCTCTTTGTACTCTTTATTTCTAAGCCGGCCAACACTCATGGAAAATATTAAGAACCTAAGTTGAAATATTAGGTGCAGGTTCCCCCGATAATGCAATTTGATGATAGTTCAGAGATAACATGTAGAAGATTTGTATTTAAAATGAAATATTTCTGATATTAGGACCTTTTTCCTTTAATTTTTACTATACAGCTACTGATTTACTGAGGAATAAGTTATACAAAGCATGTACAGAACATAAAAAATGTTAGAATAGGGCAAGAAATTCTTACCACTCTTTCCTTCTTCCTCAAGTTGTCAACTCTAAAAGACAGAGAAAAAGAGAAAGAAGATGAGGAGAGCCAGATAGAAACAGAAAAGGGAGGAACTAAATGTGGGACGAAAAAGTTAAGCTCTATAAAATGTTACTTTTATTGCTTGAATGACAAGACAGTATGATTCACTTAATTAATCATTGATTGAATGTGTAGTTCCCTTTTATCACTTTTAATAAAATAGGCAGTTTGAAAAATCATCATGTCAGAACGCATCTGGAGAGCTGAGAAGTGATACATAATTTTTTACCCTTGAAGACTTCCTCAGAATGTGAAAAATATAATAAAGATTTTCAATAGATTTTAAAAATGAGAAAAATCACTTCACAGATAAAATTTTAAATGTTAAAAAGATAGAATTCCAAAAAAAGTACAGGAAGGACTGAAACTGTCATTGTTCAACTTAGCATTAGGTTATGAACATAGGACCAAATCTTTTATCATCAAAGACATATTACTGAAACACGGTGTGTTTTTGATAATCTGTTACTACAGATAATGGAGACCCTTTCAAAAATATAGCTAAAGGGGCTGGGCAGAATGGCTCATGCCTGTAATCACAGCACTGTGGGAGGCCTAGGTGGAAGATCCATTGAGTCCAGGAGTTCAAGGCTGCAGTGAGCTATGATCACACCAGTGTCTTCCAGCCTGAGTGACAGAGCAAGACACCGTCTCCAAAAATAAAAAATAAAAAAGATTAAATATATATATGTAAACAGTGTGTGAAGAGGGGTGTGTGTGTGTGTGTGTGTGTGTGTGTGTGTGTGTGTGTGTGTATCAATAAAGTCATTCTCAGGAAAGTGAAGCATTTTTAGATATTTTAACAGAGATAATCTAAAGAATTGTTAACTAAGTATAAAGTTGTTTTCTAGTTACTGAAAAGGCCTAACTATGATAGAAGTAGCAACAGCAGAAAGCAGCTCCCATTGTTTGAAAGACATTTGAATTACTAAATCTTGAGAGCTGGTGAAGGGGCAGTGTGGAACAGAAATTCAATATATCTGAAGACAGGGCACATCTGACTGGAGCTGATACCAATGAGGTACATGAACTGACTGGCCCTGCAAGTGTTGAAAAAAATCATAAAATGGACTTGATATTTTATGAAGTAACTGCTGGTCAGAGTAAAGAAGAATTACTAGGTTATGCTCACAGGAACAGAGAACAGCGTCAGGAAGCAGCAGGAAGTGAGAGTAAGGAAGATGTCCCCTCTTTCTCTTCCAGTTTTGCAATCTCCTCCATGTGTGCCTTATGAGCAGAGTCTAACAGGGAGCCAGCCAACAAAACAGAAATCTTTCCAGAGTCTTAGCTGCAGTGTCACCAAGTAGATGCTGAGACAGTAGTAGCTGATACTGGACACAGTTCACCTCTTTAGCAACAGTGCATGCATCCTCACGTTTTCTATACGTATTTATGTTTCCATACAACAACCATAATACCATATGTTTCTGCCTAACAAGATGCAACTATTATTCACAGCACAAAGACATTCTCCAAAATGAAGAGTCTCAAAATCCCAAGAATCATATTCATTTCTGATAAACATTCACATTATCCATCTCTGAGCTGTGTCAATTGTTTTAAAACTAAAGTAAAAATTCCATTTGCAGTAAACCCTGTAGGTTGGATTAGAGTAAGAGATATTAGTATAAACTCATGTTAATTTTAATATGGCTACATACAGAAGTATAAATAGAAAAATAATTATGGATATATATGTATGTAAAGGTGTATATCTATCTATACATACATATCTAGACAGATATCTATGTATCTATGGAGATTATATCTATAGATAGATATCTATGTATCTATATCTATATCTATATAGATTATTTCTATAATCTATATCTATAATCTATAATACAGTATATCTATCTATCTATAGATATATCTATCTATAGATAGCTATACTGTATTAGTCCATTTTCACACTGCTGTAAAGATACTCCTGGGATGGGCAATTTTTAAACAAAGAGGTTTAACTGACTCAGTTCCACATAGGTGGGGAGGCCTCAGGAAACTTTATGGCAGGGGGCAAAGAGGAAGCAAGGCACATCTTCACAAGGCAGCAGGAGAGAAAGAGAGTGAAAGAGGAACTCCCAAACATTTTAAAACCATCAGTTCTGGTGAGAATTCACTTGCTATCATGAGAATAGTATGGGAGAAACTGTCTCTATGATCCAGTCACCTCCCACAATGTCCCCCCCTTTCCACATGGGGATTACAACTTGAGATGAGATTTGGGTGGGGACACAGAGCCAAACTGTATCATATACTTTTACAAATATGTTGTACATATATTTTA